CTGTGCCTGTGGTCCTGGGAGGTTCCATCACTCGCCCTGCCTGCATGCTGAGCATTGACCTCCACTCCAGCTGCCTGACCAGGCTGTCTCCCTTCTGCTTCTGCTTCCACAGAGCTGCACACGCTGTGGCAGAATGAGGAGAGGGCTGCCATGTCCTCTGGCAAGATCTACGACATCTGGCACCGCCGACATGACTACTGGCTGTTGGCAGGAATTGTCACGTACCCTTTGACCTGGCAGAGCAGGAGGCAGCGAGGCGAGAGGGGCCTCTCTGGGGGTGTGGAAGCTGGGCTGGAGCTGCACTGATGAGAGGGAGAGGGTTTAGGGCCACGGTGTGGCTGTGGGGTGGTGGGCAGGCTGTTGGCTGGCTCGTTCTGCCCTTGACACTTGTCCCACACCAGTCATGGCTATGCCCGCTGGCAGGACATCCAGAATGACCCACGCTACGTGATCCTGAACGAGCCCTTCAAGTCAGAGATACACAAGGGGAACTACCTCGAGATGAAGAACAAGTTCCTTGCCCGGCGTTTTAAGGCGAGTGGCAGGTCCAGGGCTGGTGAGTCCTTGTTGGTGGGAGGACCAGAGCAGCATCTTGAAACCAGGGGGGAATTTGCCAGGATCTTCTGTGAGCAAAATGGGGAGTGGATTTTGCGAGGAGCTCCGTGGTTTATTGGTTTATAGTGGGGGGGTCTGGTCCTGAATCCTTGCTCTCCCACACCTCCCAGTTGCTGGAGCAGGCCCTGGTGATTGAGGAGCAGCTGCGGAGGGCGGCGTACCTCAACATGACCCAAGACCCCAGTCATCCGGCCATGGCACTGAACGCACGGCTGGCAGAAGTGGAGTGCCTTGCTGAGAGCCACCAGCACCTCTCCAAAGAGTCCCTGGCTGGGAACAAGCCTGCCAACGCTGTCCTGCACAAGGGTATGTGCCTGCAGGGCTGGGGGAGTCTGCTCTGAGGCTGGGAAGGGTTCCCCACCCTCACCTGGGGAGCCAAGCCAGGAGGTGTCCCCATCTTGTGTTCTCTCAGCTTGCTGGGTGTGACAGGCATCCCCCCAAGTACCTCCTGCTTTACTTGCAGTACTGAACCAGCTTGAGGAGCTGCTGAGTGACATGAAGGCTGATGTGACACGCTTGCCCTCCATGCTGTCCCGCATCCCGCCCGTGGCTGCCCGGCTGCAGATGTCAGAGCGGAGCATCCTCAGCCGCCTGGCCACCCGTGGAGGGGATCCAGCTGCCCAGGTCTGTGGGGACAGGCACAGAGCCCTCACTGTGAGGGTCATGGGCTGCAGGGCCATGTCTTTTCTCCCTCCTTGCCTCCCCAGGGCTCCTTTGGCTCTGCCCCGATCTTCAACAACAGCTTTGGGCCGAATTTCCGTGGTCCTGGGCCAGGTGGGATTGTCAACTACAGCCAGATGCCTCTGGGACCCTATGTGACTGGTAGGCTGGGGTTTTGCTCTTGGGCAGAGAAATTCAGAGGGTGGATTTGGGTGGTCCAGGAGTGCTGCCACAGGACAGTAGTGAGCAAGGTGTTTCCTCTGTCACCACAGATATTTAGCAGTTCCCATGATTTTCCCCTGCAGCTCCCACTCCTAGCCGAGGTAAGGCTGTACTTCCTGCTCTCTTTGTTGGGGAACATGAAGGGATGGGGGGCTAAATGGAGGCTCCATTTGGGCTCCCCAGTGCCAGTATCTGACTGTGGCCTCTGCCTCAAGCAGCCGCAGTGGAGATGGGAGCAGATCCTTCCTGCAGTCCTCCCAGGTGGGGTTGGCATGTGGGGAAGGTCCACATTTGCCTTATGGACAGCCCTTCTCTCTTCTCACAGCAGCTCTGGGGGACAGTCCCTTGTCCCTGGCCACGAGCCGCTGTTGCCAGAGGTCGGCAGGGAAATTGTGCCAGCGTTGCCTGCGTGGAAGACAAGCTGCTGCCGGCGCTGCTGCGCTGTCCCGCTCCCGCTTCAAGTGTGCTTTGCCTGCTGCGGCCCCGTGGGAGCGGCGGGGCTGGGGGTTTGTGTCCGTGTACATTTTTTGCACTTTCTTATTGAAGACTTGAAGAGTTTGTCTGGGCAAGGTGGGCTGAGGGGAGGGAGGGAGGGCTGGAGTTGCGGTGTTTGTCTGGTTGTGTTGGCAGGTGTAGGGGTGAGTGGAGGCCAGTGGTGCCATGTCCCAGCCGGCTGTGCTCCCCAGCTTCCCCCCAAGGGGCGTCTCTTCATCCTGGTGGTGTTTGAGCAAGCCCACGCCTGTTGCTGCCCTGCTGGAATCCCTGGCACTGCTGTGGTGTGGCTGGGGGTCCGCATGTGCCGGGCTTGGGGCAGGCAGATGGAGGGGATGTGGGTGGGACAGAGGGGACAGCTGGAACTGGGATGGGGATGCCTCGAGCGTGGTGACACCGGCAGCCGTGAGCAACGCCCCTGCATCCGCTTCGTGCTCTGTGTGTCCCGGTTTCTGTTCTGTGTTTTAATAAATCCTTTGGGAAGGACGCAGTGGAGTCTGGCAGGGGAAGGGATGGTGGGGTGGGCGGCCTTGGGGCGGCCTGGCCATGGTCTTGGTACCCCTGCTGTCCTGCACTTGGTACCCCTGGTGTTCTGCACGTGTCCACACACACACACACACATTTCCACAGAAACCGACACAGATGTCTACACACACACACATGTGGTGCACATGGAGACACAGGGACATGCACACATGGACACAGACAAGAGAATGTCATGTATCTACACTTACTGTTATCTCTGCACGGTGCACATATATGTACACATGTCTACATCACCCCCACACATGTACCTTTTCATATATAGCATGTGTAGATCTATGTACATGTGTAGATATACACAGAACTGTAAGTTTTAGATCTATATGTGTGCATATATCTTTATGTGAGCATACACAGCTATAAATACTGATCTATTTAGGTACTGCTATGTGGGTGTGTACCTGTACATACATACCTGTATATTATACAGGTCTGTGTAATATATTTGTGGTTTTAGTAGATGTGTATTTGTGTACATAAATACTTCTGAGTGCGTGTGTAGACACAGGTATGGGTAGATAATGGATATATGTACATAGGATAGATCTATATGTGGTATGGATGTATAGATCTATATTTACAGAGGTGCATATACACATACATGCGTAGATGTTTCTACATATCTACACATCTCTATATCTCCATATCTCTGTATGGCTATATAGGTGTATTGATCTTCATGTATGTGTTCACAGACACACATGTATTTGTAATTTCCATATATTTATACATAAGTGTAGATACAGGTAAAGGTAGTATAGCTGTCCTAGACAGAGATAGTGTATGTGTGTGTATATTCACAGACACGTATGTGTCTGTTATTTCACAAATATATATGAATGTGTATGTTTCTGTTTGCACACAAACATTGATGTAGCTCTGTAGACAGAGGTACATGTACAGGTAAAGCTGTAGAGGTTTAGCTGCAGGTACATCCATGTACCTGAAGGTGTAGGGGTGTGGATGTGGGAGTTGTGCACACTGACTCTCACCCAAATACAGGGGAGAGCTCTGGTGTCATGAGTGGGTCAGAGGAGACCCCTCCACCCCATGTTTGTACACATGCACATTTATAGTGGGGCTGTAGGCGCAGCCATGGCCACAGCAGATAATCACACACACATTGTGCACAGAGCTCACACACAGTGTGGAGTTCTCACAGTGTGCAGAGCTCACACACACTCCAGAGAGCTCACACACAGAGTGTGGAATTTTCACAGTGCAGAGTTCTTACAGTGTGCAGAGCTCAGTGCACAGAGCTCTCACACACTCCAGAGAGCTCACACACAGTGCACAGAGCTCACACTTCAGAGTTCACACAGTGCAGAGCTCTCACAGCTCACACACAGAGTACAAAACTGAGGGTTTGCACATACATTTACAGTTTTTATATTTATGTGTGCACAGATAGAGGAAACTGCATGTAAATATATGTGGATATGGATACATATATATAGATATAGGCAAAATGTTTGTTTTGCACAGAGTACACAGAGAGCTAAAAAGAGATAGATACATGTAGCTATATTGTTCTCCTTAAATGTATCATCTCCTTTATGTATCATCTGTCTCTATCTATCATACATGTATCCACATATATAGCTATAGCTAGACACGCAGCTATATATATGTAGCTATAGCTGTATCTAAATTACAAATATCTGTGTCCATGTGTATATATGGCATTTGTTTATAGATGTATAGACATGAGTATATACTCAAAAAGCTGGGTATGGATATAGAGTCATCTACACATATATCTGTATGTACACATCTATCTGCATATACACACATTTAAGTACATATCAGTAATTTTCATGTGTGCATATATCCATACAAACATGGATGCTGCTGTAGCACTATATTTACATGGATATGTACACATCTGTATATTACATATATGGATCAATACACAGAACCATGTATGTCTGTATATACACAAGCACACACATGTCTACGTGTGTGTATATACGTTATACATGTATTTTTCAGAGGTGTGTCATACAGGTATCTATAGATGTAAATAGGTATTGATCTCTCAGAGACTGATGCCAGGGATAGAGGTGGAGGTAGAGCTGCATCTGTATCTACATTTGGCCGTGTGTGACTGTGTGTGTGTCTGCAGACACCCCTGTAACAGGTGTACGTGGGTGCATGTGTAGAGGCTTTCAGTAGCTTTGTGCAGATACAACTGAAGATGCTTGTGGGCTGTGTTCACCTCCACAGCTGCTGTCTGCAAATCCATACGTCCCCGTGTGTCTGCACATCCCTGCATCTCCGCGTGTGTCCATGCACACAGACACTTGCACACTTGCCCACACACACACACTCCCCCATCCCGGTCCCTCCCCGCAGCACAGCTCGGCCAGAGCATCCCAAACTCCCTCCCTGTCCCCATCCCACCCACCCCTTTCCCCGGGAGCTCTCCGGGAACCGCCGCGGTGCCGTGGGAGAGGGCAGAGGCGAGGGCCGGGGAACAGCTTCGTGTTGTCGGCCTCGTGGGCGTACAGCACCCGCGTGCACCCCGCGCCCGCCGCCAACGTGGAGGCAGGAGCCACGCATGCAACGGGTCCCGGCGGCGGGCAGGGCGGCCGGGCAGCTCGGGGCTCGCCTCCCTGCGGCCGTCCCTGCGCCGCAGAGCCAGGCCGGGCGGCCGCGGCGCCACGTCCGGGGCGGCGCGGGTGGAGCGCTGGCTCTCGGCGCTCGCGGTGCGAGCCACACTCTCCACTTTGCTCCAACAAAGCGTAAGCAAGCGAACGGGCGGCGAGGGCTGCGCGGCGTGCTCGGGCGCGCTTAGGATCTGTAGTCCTTCTTGCTGTATGGTTTGTTGCCCAGGATGCTATCGATCTCGTGGACGATGGAAGACGACAGCTTTGGAAGGACCTGCGGGGGATGGGGGCAACGCTGGGAGTTGGGATTGTGACCCTGCTGTGTGCTTGAGGATGCTCACCGCCTCCACCCCACCGCGTTCGTGCCGCAAGCCCCAGCTTGCCGGCAGGGTGACCCAGTTAGGGAGAGCCTGAGTCAGGCCCAGCCCTGCCCCCTCCGCCCAGCAAAGCCTCGTCTTTGCTTCTCGCCTTCACGACAAGCAAAACCTGTCATGGAGCCGGGTTTGTAACCCTCTTTTCCCGCACAGTGCAGCACTGCAATGAGTGCTGTGGGCAAATGTTGCTCCTGCTGGGAGCACTGACCTGTATTGCTCCAATATTCTCCATCAGCTGGTCAGCATTGGAGGCCCCCAGTAAGACGGAGCTGACACCCTCGTTGCGCAGGCACCAGGCTGGGAGAGGAGGGAGAGCAGAGCTTCAGCACGGCCCAGATATCCCTGGTGTCACCCCAGCTGTCCCCTGCTGTCCCCCATCTTACCGATGGCGAGCTGGGGCAGGGTGCAGCCCAGGCGCTCAGCAATGGCCTGCAGCTCCTTCAGCTTTGCCTGCTGCCGCCGGCCCTCTTCACTCAGGATCTTGTCCTTCAGCCACTGGTATCCCTGGGGAGTGGGAAGGGGTGTTGTGGTGGGATCAGGGTGCACCAGCACCTTGCACAGGCAGGGCATCCCCAAACTCCCTGGGTTGTGGCTCCTGGAGTTCCTGTTCCCATAGGGACTTTGCAAGGCCCCTGGCCCTGCTCCCCCAGCTCTGTCCATCCCCGTGTGCCCTCCCAGCCCTGGTGCAGCTCACCTTCAGCGAGGCACGGGAGTAGGGGGGGATGCCCCCATCATACTTCCCCGAGACGATGCCGCAGGCCAGTGGGGACCAGGTCATGGCTCCAACGCCTGGGGACAGAGCAGAACAGGGGGGTGACACTGCTGCTCCCAGCTCCCTCAGGGGCCGTGGCACCTGGTCTCAGCAGCACTGTGCTCTGGGGAGCTGGGGAGGAATCCCCCCTGTCATACCTATCTTGTGGAAGAGCTCAGGGAGCTGCACCTCCACCTTTTCCCGCTGGAACATGTGGTACTCAGCCTGCTCACAGATGGGCGGAATCAGGTTGAACTGCCGGGCCACCGAGTACGCCTCCTGCAGAAGAGCCAGGACCCTCAGCGCCCTGCCGCTCCCCCCGAGCCCCCTGCCCAACCCCCCTGCCAAGTCCTGAGCAGCCACCCCGAAAAATAATTAAGGCTTAAGTGCATCTGCACACGCTTGGCTCCCAACAGCTGCTGTCTAATTAAATCAACGTCAGCAGCATCGCTGGGGCTGCTCCGCTGCACCCGCCCCGTCCCCTGGGCCCCTACCATGATCTCCATGGAGCTCCAGCGCGAGGTCCCCCAGTACATGGCCATCCCCTGGTTGATGACATGGGTCATGGCTCGCACTGTCTCTGCCGGGAGGGAAGGAGAGAGTGGCAGGTGGGGTTTAGCAGGGCTGCACTGGCAGAAGGGGGCTCCCACTGCCCAGTGCTGCGGTGGGAGCTGGGTGCTGTCCAGGGAATGCTTTCAGAAGAGCAGGATGGGGAGAGAGGGAGCAGCCACTCAGGATGTGCCAGGGACCACAGCCGACCTGACATGCTCGCACGGTGCCAGGCTCTCCCTGCATGGACAGCAGCCTGAGGCTTCTGCCAGTGTCCCCATGCCCTGTGGGGTTACCAGCACTGGCACTGCTGCAGGGGTAGGGACTGATGCATTGTCCACACACAGAGACCCACAGAGGGAAGCCTGAACCCTGTGTGAGCCACTCAGGCGTCTTGGGGGGAGCCAGCCCTGAGCCATGCAGGCTGGGGCCAAGCCAAGGCGTGCTCCTGCAGCCAAAGGCGAGCAGTGGGGAGGGCAAGGGGCACGAGGCTCGCCCGGCCGGCACCGGGGCACACACCCCAGCATGCTCACAGCTGCCCCGGTGGGGAGGGACCCTGCTGCAGACCCTGGCATGTGCCAAGGGCACCCCATGGCAGGACCCTGGGGGGCGGGAGCCTCTCTGCTTTTTGTCCTTTAAACTGCAGTACAGTCTGAAGGGCCAGGGGGGTGTCTGTGTTGTGCTGCTGCTGCCTCTGCATCTCATGGCAGGGTTTGCTTGAGAGGGGGAACAAGGATGGGGGATCACAGAGGAGTGGGGGCTCTGCCCCGGGAAACACCGCTGGGACAGGCAGCGGCTGGCGGGCAGAGTGCGGGCAGGGAGTACCTTCTACGATGAAAGTCCTGGACTTGGAGGAACTAAATGGGTCCCCTGGTGATAAAAGAGAGATTTAGAGAAAGTGGAGTCACCGCTGCTGGGATGGGGGCAGTGACCTGCCACCACACTGCCAACCCGCCCCGCCGCGGCCCGAGAGGGTCCTGGCGCCAGGCAGGAGGCGGCAGAAGTGTGACTGTGGCACGGGCCAACCGTGGTGGCAGAGGAGCGGATTCTGCTTGGGAGGGAAAATGGCCTTGAAAGACAAGCCTGGCGCAAACCAACCGCGACGGCGATGAAAGGCAGCGGGGAGCAGCGTGGCACCGTGGCGCGCACCCACCTTCCATCGGCGTGTTGGGGTCGGGCCGGTTGGCAAACACCACGTCCACGTACTCTAGCTGCAGCCGCTCCAGAGACGCCTTCAGACCTGCAGCACGGATGGGCAATCAGGTGTGCTGAGCCCCGTGCTGCCAGCACCGAGGCAGACGGTGAGGCACAGCCTGGCAGTGCCTGACGAGTGCCCTCACACATGCCCCTACCTTCTATGATGTGTTTTCGGGACAGGCCCCTCTCTGTCTCGGCCCTGCAAAAGGAAAGGTGGGTGAGAGCCTGGGGTGAGAGCCTGACCCGTGCCAGCTGCTCTGCTAGGGGGCAGTTGTTACCTACTTTCCTCCCCAGAAGATTTTGGTGGTGATGACCAGGCTGGACCGTCTGTGGGGAGAAAGAGAGAATCACTGCAAAGCCCTGTGCACCCTGCCCTGCATGGCACATTCCTGCCCAAGGCTGCTCTACCAGCTTTCCCCACCCAGCCCATCGGGTTTTGCCAAATAGGGATGGTGTCTAGCTTACCTCCACCCCTTCTTCTTGATGATATTTCCCAGCACCACCTCGGCCCTGCAAGGGAAGGGAACATCAGCCATTGGCACCTGGCAGGTGCAGCCATGGGGACACTTGTTTGCCCCTTGGCTGCAGCACCCAGAGCCGAGTTGTCCCCAGTGCATGAGCTTGCTAATTTTAAGTGAAAGCATGGACACATGCCAATGCCCTGGGCCCGTGTGCCCTGGCTACAGCTGTGCTGGGAGGGTGCACAGCTGCACCTGCATGATACAGGCCACCATGGGAAGCATGGGACTGCCAGAACCATGACTCCCTCCATGGGCAAGCGCTCAGAACTCCATCCTAGAAGCTGCTTTGCAGCTGGCAAACCTGGGATATTCCCATTGCCACCGTGATTTGGTGGGAGGCGGGGCGTAGGGTGAGACCCCTGTGGCACTGCCAAAGCAGGGTACCTACTTGCCAGCAGCGTAGACTTCTGCCGTGTCGAAGAGATTAATGCCGTTGTCATAAGCTAAAGTCATCAGCTGCTCTGCCATCTGCGAGGAGAGAGCGGGGTCGGTGAAGGGGGTGGCCGAGAGCACGGGCGCGTGCGCAGAGCGCTGGAGCTCCGGCAAGCTGCATGCACCCAGGCCACAGCCACGGCTGGGCTGGCCCCATCCCCTCCCCACTCACCAGCGGAGAGACAAGGTGAAGGGGTGCAGCCTTACCTCATCTGTGATCTGCCCTCCGAAAGTCACCCATGTTCCTGCAGGGGAGAGAGAGGTGTGCGCATGGTGAATGTGGTGAGCAACGAGCGCTGCCACGTCAAGCCCCCGGCCACCCACCCTGGCTGCCTCAGCACAGCCCTGGCACGTGGTGGCCACAGCTGGCCCTGCCGCGTGCACTGTGGTGCTCCCAGCACGGCCCAGTCGCTTCCTATCGTGTCAGAAAAAGAGAAAATAATTTGACAATTTCTGGGCCGTGACTCAAAACAGCCGCAGGGCTGAGGAAAACCCTTTCCTTCCCTTTGCAAACATCACCGGGGCAAGCGAGGGCTGCCCTGGCCGGGGAGTGCCGGCAGCTGCTGCGGAACTGAGGGGATGCCGAGGGGCTGTGGCAAACCCTGGCACTTACCCAGACCCAGGCAGGACACACGCAGCCCAGACTTCCCGAGGTTCCTGGAAGACAGAGACCATTACCAAAGGTGCCAGAAAGCCCCAAAACGCTGTCTCATGCACCCTGCATGCCACCAACACACCGGGCGCGAGGACTGGGAAGTGTGGTGGTGTCCCCTGGTCCCCATCCCCACCTGGGATGGTTCCAAAATGAGAGTCCCATCCGAACTGATTAATGAGCCATCCCAGGCTGGGCATCCTGAAGCTTGGTAGTGCCACTGCCTGCACCTGCGCAGTGATGCTGTGCCCGGCAGGGCTATTGGGAGAGCAGTGACCTCGTTAAAGCAGCTCCCCCTGATGAGGCTGGGGTGTCCAGCTGCCCTGAGAATGCCACTGGCACTGAGAAATGAGAGTGGAGAAAGAGGAGCTGGCATGCCGATAGTCAGGACTGAAGCATCCCATACATGGTATGAGTTGTGCCCGTTCTCTGCATTGCACAGGGAAGCACGGGGCTTGCACCAGGCGAGGGTGCTCGGGAGTGGAGCAACATCCTGGAGAAATGGAGCACCCCAGAAAATTTGACCGGCACAAGGAACTGGAGAACAGCTTTCAGGAAGGGGGCCAGGCTGGCAGACGCCTTCGCTGTGGTGATGGAGAGCCAGTTACTTGTTAAAAATGACAAAGGCTCAAGAAATGAGCGTTAAAATAAATAAAGTGTAGGTGAGCCGCGGCAGCTCGCCCGCGCGGGTGTCGCATAGCAACCGGAGGCACCGCCACCGCCGGCACCGCCGACACGGGCACCGGCAGCCGGGCAGGGAGCGGCTGCGGCCCAGCCACGGGCGCCCGTGGGCTGCTCTGAGTCAGGGCAGCATCCCTCTGCACTGCCATGCTATCGCCCAGCATCTGGAGGCACCGGTGCTCCCCCCGTCCCGTGGTGTTTTTAGAGCATTTTGTGATGGGGAGAGGTCATGGCCGTGGGCCAGCGGTGGCTCAAGCCCCCGTGATTGGGGTTGCCGTCAGGGAGGAGAGCACCTGCCTCATCCTGGACGTTCCAAGAGCATTGCTGAGGTTCCCCTGGGCAGGTGACCATCGCTGCTCTTGGCTTCCCAGCCCAAAGGTGTGTTGACAGGCTGCCCAACAGAGATACTGGCAGACCTTGGGAAGGCCAAGCATTCTCCTACACTTCTTATCCCATCCCATCCTCCTGCACCACTGTCCCTCCAGCAGCCAGCAGTGGGGATGCCCAAGCTGATCACCCACTGCCTGGGAGAGGGTGTTGTTGGTAAACTCCTCCTCTGGATGAGAACATGACTGTGGGGCAGGAGCACTTGAGCCCTAAGGATGCCACTGTGCATTGTCCCAATATTGTTATCACCGCAAGGGTTTGGTGTTCGAGAGCTGGACAGAACTGGGCCAGCCCCCTCCCCAGTGTCCAGGTAAGGGGACTCAGCTGATTTGGACGACACTGGTGGGTGACAGCCAGGCTCACCCCAGTGGTCTGCTGGCCTCACACACTTTGTTGCCTAATGCTGGCACATCTGGGCTGCAGCGGAGGCACGCAGCTGCTGGCAGCTGGACCATGGCGTGCAGGCTTATCTGGGGGGGGCCCTACCCTGTCCTAGGGTCCATGCTCATCTGGGGAGAGCCCCAGCCCCATGCCCAGGTGCACACTCAGCCTTCATGGGAGAAGCCCTCAGTGCTCTGCCCCAGAGCCAGGACATGGGGTGTGTGAGCCCTGTGGGTGCTGGCCGGGGGGGCCCCACATGCACACACCACCCCGTTTCCAGAACCACCATGGGCAGCCAAAGCTGCTTATGGCTCTGCACTCACTTTGCAGGGCACTGAGTCTCCAGCAGCACCGAAAGGATGCCATGGCAGACCGGATTAATGCTACCGTGACTCCCAGACCCCCCCGGCTCGGCAGCCAGCCAGGCTTGGCAGACACTGAGGATGCTACTAATCCTACTCGGAATTTTAGGGTCCCTTCTCTCCCCCATCCTGAAGATTTTACGCGCGGCTGGATCAAAGCTGCCCTGAGGGGACAGGAGCAAACAGCGAGGAAGCGCACGGAGGCGCACGGTCAGCACTTTTAGCGACGAGAAACCGCCAGAGCCGGACGCGAACCGGAGACAAGGGGAGTGCGGCGCCCCCGACCCCCAGCCCCCCCTCGCCGCCCCGATCGCAGTGAGGACAGGGAAAGCCCCATGAGCCTACCGGTATTTCATCCCCGGCTGCTTGACGCTGGAGTCGCTGGAGGAAGGGGCGTTCTGCACCGAGAGCTGCCCCAGGCTGCGGGCCACCATGGCCACCGCGCGGAACTTGCCGCGGGTGCCGAGGCTGGGGCTGCCGGCATTCTGTCGGTTCAGCCGGTCCTCCGCGCTCCGGCTCTTGATGCTGTGCTCGGAGCACACAAAGGAGACCTGCATGCTGCTCCGGCGGGCAGCAGCGCCAGCTGCCTAAATTTAGCCGGCGCCCCGGGCGAGGCGGGGAGCTCCTCCCGCGCGCCGCCAACGTGACGGCGGGGGGCTGCGGGGCGGCGGGCGAGGAGCGCTCCCGTCAGCCCTCCTGCCCTCAATATTTGATGAGCTCAGGAAGCGAGCGAGCGGCACGCTCGGGCAGGTGGGGGCAGAGAGGCAGAGCCGCTGCCGGTACCCTCCAGAGTGGCCGTGGCGGGGCAGGAATCCCCCGCTCCCCGCTGGGCATCCCCCCGCGGGTACGGCTGCCGGCCCAGCTCCGCTCTGGGGCACAGCGAGGGCTGAGGTGCGGAGTGAAGAGGCAAATTCCCCTGCACGGGTCCGAAACGAAACCCCCTGGCAGCAACGCGTGTGCATCGCCAAGCCCGGGGCTGGGCGGCAGCCAGGTGGCGACGATGCTGATGGCTCTCCCGCGGCAGAGCCCACCTGCCTGCCGGAGTTGTCGCCCTCGGGGCCACAGCCCCAGCAGCACATTCCCCTTTTTTTTTCCCAGTGCAAACGAAGTCGAGTGAGACGGATTCCAGCCTAGCACCTCCCGCCGAAGCAAGGACACGAGTCAGCCCACTACGGCTGCCAGCACCTGCCGTGCCCCTCAGGATGGAGCAAAATGCAGCGACGGGGCTTGCAGGAAATTATGCACATTTGCCCCAAACCTAATGAAAAATCTTGTAATCTCCTCCGCTTCCCTCTCTCACAAAGCTCCTTAGCTGGTAATCCTGCCAGCACCAGTGCCAGCGCCGGCTCCAGTGCGGGGGGGACCTGGCAGCAGTTGTCAGTCCTCAGAGGATGAGAAACCCCAAAAATTTTGGTGGCAGCAGGGACATGCCCAAAGAAGGAGCACCTTTGGGGTGCCTGTGCCAGCTGCTCCCATCAATAAATAATGTCCCCATGAATATTAGATGGGCTCTTGCCACTGTGTAAATGTTACCGCGGTCATTGTGAGCAGAGGGGAACCTGACCCGCGGCGCGGCACGGCACAGTGCAGCATGGCAGGAGCCGGCAGAGCTGCCAGCTCCCCGGGGCTTCACTGCAGTGGGGGACAAGGGGCACCTCGGTATTGTCACTGGAGAACAGCCGCTGTCCTCAGCCCTGGTGCCCCTCAAAGCCTGACCTGGGCTCTGCACCCCATTGCTCCACCCGCAATGCCAGGGGAGAGGTGCACTGGGCAGAGCAGCCCCATCCCTGTCAGGGGCTATGACCACCTCTCCAGCTGCCTGGAGTGTCCTCCTGACAAGGACATTGGCTGAAATCCTGATACACCTTGCACCAGGACCCACATGCAAAATTAATGATGCACCCGCTCTGTGATGCACACCCATCACTAAGGAGGAGATGCAAACCCATCAGGCAGGGATGTATGCCCGTCAGATGGAGATTTACACCCCTCAGGTGGAGAAGAACCCCGGTCAAGTGAAGATGTACCCCTCCAGTCAGGCAGAGATCTACCTGCACCAGATAGAGATTTACACTTCTGAGGCAGAAACAGCTCTTCGGCGGCTGTTTGCTCCAGGTGCCTAATCTTTAAAGTTCAGAGGGTGTTTGCATCTGCAAATGCCCAGACAGCACACAGGAATGTCAAGCGAGAAGCTCAAAGATCACCAAGGAGGAAAGTGCTAACGGCGCTGATCGGCTGCCGCCTCTCCGGCGCTCGCCGTGCCAAGGGCATCGGCTCCTCCCAGCCTCGGCACAAGGGAGCCGAGGTGAGCTTAGGTGAGAGCCGTTCTCCTGACGAGGTGTCAAACCAGCACCAAGCAGCGTCCCCAGTGTCATCCCCTCACCTCGGCGCTGCCTTACCTGTACTTCATGCCGGTGGCGCGGGCGGTGCTGTCGGCCAGGGAGAGCCCGTGCATCCGCAGGAACTCCTCCAGAGTCTTCGCCCGCGCCGCCGCCCGCACATCCCGCAGCCGCCGCAGCTCCAGCCCGTCGGCCGCCCGGGGGGCTGGGGGCAGCCCCCACTCGGGGCTGGGCCGGCTGGCCACGCTGCGCAGGCTCTCACTGTAGGTCATGGAGAGCATCCTGCCACCCGAGCGTGGGCTCTGCCGGCCAGCCACGCCGCCAAACACTCTGTGGTGCTACGGAGAGAGCTGGGAAAGCACAACATGGGCTCCCTCGCCACTCAGGGCACAGCCCTGCCCGCACTGCCATGACAGAGTGGTGGCACCCACTCTTGTCAGGACATGAAGCAAAGCCACTCTCGTCAGCGGAGCAAAGCCTTGGCGTGAGAGCTGAAGCACAACAGGAGAAGCAGCAGGACAGGGATGCGGCACAGTCCGTGTCTGAGGCTGCAGTGGTGCCTGTCACAGCCGCCCCAAGCCACGATGCAGCAGTGTGGCCCGTGGCTCCCAGTTTGTGCGGGGCTGCACTGGTTTGCATCCCAATGAGGGACGCAGCAGGTCCCAGGAGCTGGCCAAGGCATGGTGAGCAGCGGCACAAGTACTGCTGGTGAGAATCTGGCACTGTGTGCCAGTGGGCAAGGGAAATCGGGATGGGAAAGGGGTCCCTGTGGGGCTCCCTGGAAAGGATGGACATCGGCAGAGGGTCTGTGGGCACTGGGTGCTCACTGTGCCTGCGTCACGCTGCCGCAATGTGCGCCACCAGCCAACACCTTCCCCACCACCGCGGCACCGACCTCCCAGCCGGTGCGGCTGCCAAAAATAGCCTGCCGCAGGGTGGGCTCCTCACACAGCCCAGCCCTGGCTGTCTCTGTGCCTGGGACCTCACTGGTGGTGGCACCTGCTTGATTTCTGCGCCTCTCTCCATAACTTCCCTTGTTTCAGTGTCTGCAGGGAGCAGGGATTGGGGCCAAAGCTGTGGTGCTGGTGCCAGAGTGGCCACTGGGGATGCACTGTGGCACATCTACACCGGCATCAGGCTCCAGCCAGGCTCCCACTGGTGGTTTTTTCTTTCCCCGTGAAGCTCAAATTGACAGCTGCAGGAGCCAAAAGTGAAGGGCTGTCTGCCATTGAGGTGTGACCTCCAGAGCAAAGGAGAGGGAAGCCCAGAGGATATGGAGTAGCAGCTGGTCAGGTATGATCAAAACCCTGGGTGTGTTCTCTGACATCGAGTGCTGTCAGAGACCACTCGGTGCTCCTCATGCTCTGTAGCAAGGCCTTGGAAAAGCTGGGAGACATGGAAAGGAAACCTTTCCCTCTGTTGTGGCAAAGTCGAACTGAATCCCTGGTCATCAGCCTCTTCCTGCCACACCTCAAAGCTGGAGGCTGGACCCAGCAACTCTAGCGCCAGCCCTTCTCTGTGGCTGGTAGCTTTAATTAGGGCAATGCCAGTGGCTCGTGCTGGGTACGGGCACCTGGTGGAATCTCCTTGTTCCCAGTGGGATCTCCTTGCCCTGCTAGGATCCCCTCACCTGACAGCAGCAAGGAGAAACCTGAGCTGGCTGCACCACTGCTCTACAGCAGCCAAACGGCTGCAGCAAGCAGAGCCGGGGGTTTGATCTGGGCTGCTCTGAGCAATGGGGTGGGAATCCACCAGCTGCCCTATCTTGACACTTTACTGATTTTCAGCAGAACAGAACAGGATGGTGAAGAGAGCATGGAGGAGGTGGGTGCATTCATGGCCTTTTGATAGCAGAAATCCCAGCGCTCCTGGGATGAGTGGCAGCAGGGCTGCAGGATCTGCCAAGGATGAGCTGCGCCGTGCCCAAGCAGGAGAGGCTGTTTTGCAAGGAAGGAGCAGGGATGGGGAACAGAGCACAGGCTCTGTGGGATAACAGCACTGTTAGCAGCATCAGGGGCACAACAAGTGGGTAACAGGCAGGACAGCTGCCCGGAGAGACATCTGGCCAGCCTGGCCAAGCTGGGAAACTAGCAGCCACCATCCTGCCTAAAGCCAGGAAGACCCCAAACTCCAAAAGAAAACCACCCTAAGCCATCAAATCCCAAGTCACCCTGCACGGAAAATCTTCCCTGGTGCCCGCAGCGGCTGCCCCGTGGCAGTGCCCGTCCCCGCTCATCGCCCACCATGCCCAGCCCCGCTGGCCGCCCGCGCTGCCGGCCCCGACTCACCGCGCCGGGGAAGCTGCTCAGCAGCAGCGCAGCTCTGCGCGGCCGGGCTGCCCCAGGGCAGATATAAGAGCCGCGGTGTTTTGCATTAGGGGAGTGTCGGAGCTTGGCGTCCAAAGCACTTGGCGGCTGCGCCGGGCCCCCAGCGTCCGGCTTCTCGCCGCGCTCCATTAGCCCTATTAGGGGATTTTCTTCCTTGCGAAGGGGAGTTAAATTATTCATGGCGCCTCACTAAAAGCCCGGGGATGTGCCGCTGCTTTATCAACGCTGGCACCGCCCGCCCCTCGCCCTGCGGTGACAGGTCTCCTGTCACCAGCACACAGGGCGGTGGGGACGGCTGGACACTGGAGCCATCAGGGAGCAGAGACGGTGCCCTGAGGCAGACACAGCCCTCCTGTGTCCCCGCGGCAGTGGAGTCAGAGCTGGGCTGCGGCAGGACTGAAAGGCAGCCTCCACCAGGAGGGAGCCCCGAAACGGAACCGGGTGATGAACACAGGTGGCTGCTGCCTGAAGGCAGCCTACAGACACGGTCCTGCCTGTTGGCCTTGGGAGCCTTTGCACCAGATTTGTCCAGCGGTTCAGACCAGTTTGGCAGCCAAAAGTTGCAGTGCTCGGCAGTGCTGGTGGCAGCACTGGGATGGACACTGTCAGTGCCACTGAGCCATCCCATTTCCAGCCCTCTTCACCTCCTCCCATCATGTGTGGGGTGGAGTGGGGAGGCCACGGTTCTGTCTAGGGACAGCCCGCAGTCCCCACCCCACAGCAGCCAGGCCAGACCCAGTCCCACACCACTGGGCTGCTGTGGCCCTGGGAGCGCTGGAGCACTGCTGGCAGAGTGTGTGGGGAAGTGCTGCCCTTGCTTCAGACAGTAAAAGGGTGATGGGGGTGAATGTTGCCTCCTGAACCACTTAATGAGACTGCTCCTAATAGCAGGAGCCACGGACCAGCTGGCTGGTTTCCCAGAGCTGCTCTTGGGAAAAGCTAAGGGCTTCTCCAGGCACAGCATTGGCATGGGACGCTCCCTCCAAGCTGAGCTGAGTCCCACATCCCACAGTGGCTGTCCCCCACAGCCATGTGGCCACACTCTGCTGCCTGGACAGCCCGTGAGAACGGTCCCCCCACCCAGCCACACCCCAGGGTCCCCACACTGCACTTCTGAACCCACGAGCAGGTGAGGAGGCGATGCCACACATGTGATACCCATCCCACAGAGGAACCCTGGCACACTGGGCAGGGCAGCGCCGTGCCAGCATTATCTGGGCATGGGCAGGAGCCGTAGCCACTTGCTGGGGGGATTTTGGGGAGGGGGAAGGGCCTGGTTACCTGTAGAACTGGAGCTGGCGCTTGGGGCTCCCGTATCTCGCGCTTCCGACAGCAAAGGGGAGAGAGAAGAAAGATGCCACAAACCCCGTTAGAAAAGGAGGAGCAGGAGTGAGTGGCAGAGTCAGTGGCTGTGAGAAGGGTCAGCGGCACCCACCCATGTCACAGCACAGTGGACACTGCAGCA